TCATCAAATAAAAACTATTCATACAGGTGAGCACAGGTGACATCCCAGAAAGGTGGAAGGCACAGAGGCCCATGCAGAGGCAGGGGGACTCCACTGGTGAGAAGGCTGGTGCCGGCTGGGTGCTGTCACTTAGCTGTGGGACACCTCCTCTTTGAATGGAAAAGGACTTTCCCATTGCGCTCTGAAGCCTTCAGGGAGGCCCTGAAGGACAGTGTGGCGGCAGGTGGCTGAGGCTCTAGTCCCCACCTCCGCTTCTAGTTGACCGACAGTGTACTTCTGTGTAAGTGTCGTGTGAAGAAAAAACTGTGGTGCTTAAAAAAATATTTGGAAGTCATTCGTTAAATAGGAGGAAGAGAGAACAAATGGAGAAGTAGGTGAAAAAATTGAGAGGAAGGAAGAAAAAGGGTAAGATCAGCCTTTTTTGAGACTTCCCTTTATTCGATCTCCACCGCCTTCCGCAGCCCTGAGTCCTGACTTGCTCTCTGCTCCCGGTGCAGCCTCGGCCAGGAATTCAACCAGCAGAGCCAACGGCCGCCAGTGTGGAGTCGGGGAGACAGCCCTGAGCAAGACTGCACCTCCCGCTCGGGAAAGCAGGGGCCAGACGGGGAGAAACGTGTGAACGTGCGTGGCACGGCCAGGCTCGCATCACGGGGCAAAGCGGGGAGCCCCCGCCTGTCTTTTGCGCTCACTCCACCGCCTCAGTCCCATCCTTCCTGCGGCTTCTCCGGAACCTCCCGGCCCCTGCGGCGTCCAGTCACTGACCACACTGACCTCTGCAGTCTCTGAACGTCTGTGGTGTCTGGTCGCACACGACACAGCCTAAAACAGCGCCTGGCACACACTGTGCTCACTAAACATTCGCACTGGTTCTTAAGTACATGCTTTTTCTTTCCTATTTAAATTACAAACAACTAGAAGGCAAAGACTGCTGTATTTTTGCCTCTACCTTTAGTACCCACTGAAGGCATTCAGCAAATGCCTGACTGGAAAAAATGGAGTGGCACTGGGGAAAAAAGAAGTCGGCGAAAAGAACAAATAGGAGAAGAGTTAAAGAACATATTAAAAAGTAGGGAACAAAAAATTACTATAAAATGTGAATGGAGGCCGGGCGCGG